ACGAACGAAGAAAAAAATATGCACCAAGGATGGCGGATATAAAGGAACTTTATCTTGCGGTTGGCACTTTACCCCACCAAATATAACAATGTTGTGCGAGGAGGTGGATGGGTAGCAGAGTGAGAGATAGATAGAGAGAGGAGAATGAGAGGAAAAAAAGCACGAAGCATAATACTAAGGGGAGAGAGAAGTAAAATATGGCCAATTAATGTTACAGGCTATTATGCACATGATATATCTTCCTTCTGTAGATATAAATAAGTGCAGCTCTGACCAAGCCCTCGATATATTTATATTCCTTATGCGGCGTATATTGCTCGCGCCCTCTCACATCTCGATCCCACGTATCGCGCAAAGAAAATTAACACGGAGGTTGCGAAATGAAAAGAAAGGAAGAAGTGGGGCCGTACCTAAACAAAAGGGCATCAAAAATAACTAACTACCTGATGGGCCAACTAAGCCGTCCGAACAGACTACCTGTCTCATTTCCGGCTTGCCATTAGACCTCCCTTCAAATTCATTTCCGTGGCTACCTCCACCTCCTCCTCATCCCTCCCATCAACAGCTCAACACAACAATACCAATTTTTCCGTCGCTCGCATCCTTATCCATCTTCATTCCTTCATTCGACCTCTTCTTTCCATTTCTTTCTCTCATCCTCTCGGACGAATTAAATTCGCGGGACTGCACAATGGGCTTCTGGTTTTGTTCGCACCATATAACGTTTTGAATAAGTTAACTGGTCCGGCCATTAGGGCGCTGCGCGCAATTGTATAAATTCCCGAGGTTCAACCCTCCACCCCATCGTAAGAAGAAGGCAAGGGCTTTCAGAGGGCTATCCGCGGAGGAGGAAGGAATTGTTTAAAATCTCGAACGCTTCAAAGGGAGGCCAGTTCATTAATTTCTTCTTCTCTCACTCTCTTTTTACTTTTTCTTCCTCCTCTCCCAAGGACTTTCCGCCCTCCCTCTCGTACTCCCTCTTTTTGTTCGCACAATTTACTCTCCCCGTCTCTTATTATTAAATTTATTTCTCGCCATTTCTAATTCGAATCGAAAACAAGAAAAGAATCAGAGGAGAAGAAAAAAGTATATAAAAGAATGGGGAAAGGAAGCGCGCACGGACACTTTCAATATTGGACTGCCATAAATCAATTAAGTCTTTTTGTCTACTAGCAACTAATAAGCCACCCCCATTCGTCCGATGAATTATGCAGATCTCTTAATGGGCTTTTCGTTAATGTTTATTTTTTTTAATGAAAAAAGAAACCATTCTAGATATATACGAATCACTCAAAGATTTCAATCAAAGTGCCATCAGCACTTAATTCATGAAAATTTATGTAGTAAATATGTTGTATACTACAGCAAATAGACTTTTTTAGCGTATAGATTTAAATAAATGTCGGTAAAAACGACAATCCCTATTTTTAACAAAAAAATATAACAAAATAAAATATTCTGCAAAAAAAAACTGCATAAATAAAAATACGGATTTTAATCCGTAGATATCAACATTTTTTCATATTTATAGAATTATAAAAATATAGCACAATAATATTTATTATGAAAAAAGAAACATAAAAAAATTCTACAATAACATTTTTAAATGATTATTTCTTCAATAACCGCTGCCCACTTGCAAATAATATTTTAATTAAAAAAAGTAAACAAAACAGCAATTTTTATTAACAAAAAACGTCTACAAAAACGTCTGATAATTATGCACCAACTCAATATTATTCAAAATCAACATGCACTAAATCATGTCTTCTATAATATGCGATGAGATCTCGTTTTTTTTCTTTCCTATAAAGTAGCTTTTAAATAGTATTCAGATGAAAGAAGCAAAATATGTTATAGGTATTTCAGAAATGCGTGATTATTTGTACCCCAAACGCGTATCGATTAATTTGTGTACATAATAACGCGAGGCCCGATGAATAATTCATAGCCAACTCTAAGATTAATTGACAAAGTGTTGCTATGTCATTAAGGTGTATACCTCCTAATTAAAGCAGTCTCTTAACGAGAAGCTCATCTGCACGTAGCAGACACAAAGGCGCGCGCGCGCGCTCCAAATCCACAGTTTCGTCAGCAACAATAGAAAAAAATCTAGCTGTAATTTGTATCAATAACACAAACGAACCTTCCGGATTTCGTTTCTTTTTTTTTGTTCATCCATGTTTCATGCATTGTGTGTGTGCATTGTGTATTCGCGTCCCTGCGATTTCGCAACTATTTTAGAGGCGATTGCGTAACGCCGGGGGCGACACAATGCGGCGCGGCGCGCTCCCCTTTTTGTATTTTCTTTCTATTCCGATGCAATAATAAAATCTGGGGTTGTGCACTCGATAGAATGCATGCGGCCAAACTACAACTCTATTGAACCGTTATTAGGGGTAGCGGCGGAGAGGCCGACGGGAATGGGGAACTGCTGCACAAATAATCCTCCATACTTTTTTTTCTGCAGTTTTCCCGCACGCACGTTTTGCGGTTCTTCCCTAACTACAGAATCAAATGCATCGCAGTGTTTAGCCGCATCATTATTCCTGCATCCTGCATCTATTCATATAGAAGGATATTTGACAAAGAACATTAGCTCATTGTAATGAAAATATACTTTAATAACCACTGTAAATAACTCATTGAATCATTGATTACTCAATACGAGACAAAAGACAACTATATACTTTATCAACTGAAATTACTTAAACTTATTTGAGTTTAGTAATTTGAGGTGACCACCTTTAATTTTAGATTTAGATTTTAATAACTTTTTACAAAATCAGGGGATATTATGAATTAAAATAAAAAATACTTCAGAAAACTTAACTGTATTATCAAATATAGCAAACATTTCAAAACACCAACATATTTTTCTTATAATAATTAATTCTATGAACTTTAGATTGTTTCGGTGTAAACTGGAAAAAACTTTTTTTTTAAACTTTGAAGACAGCTAATTTTTTGTAATTATTATTTTTTTCTTAACAAATTGCGGAATTGCTTTAATATACCAAAATGTAGTATATTTGATTAGTTATGAATAAACCGTTAAATTAAATTAAAAAAAAAATGGTTATTTGGAATTCAAAAAGTTTTATTTTTAAATCAGTTTTTCTATTTTTTTCTAATAGCCATGCTCAAACACAATTTTTCAAGAGTTTTGTTTGATCATAAAAGATATAAGTATTCAATATTGTTTTACCTACTACAATTCAAAAACTTCTTTAATTATTCTTCAAAAAAATCAAATTCCTCGATGTAATGTCAATAATTTTATAACATCTGATGTTAATGTTGTATGATATGAACAAGACCTAGTAGACCAGAACTGATTCAAAAACACTGTAAATATTGTTATTTTTTTTCTGTTAATGTTCATTACGTGTGTTGTGTTGGTTAAGTACAACTTCAACTTTGACATGGATGTCAATGAGTGAATGAAGAAAGTTTCGCAATTGAAACGGATACAAGGAGTTAAATTATCGAGAGCCAGTAATTACAGAAAACAGCGATTCATTTGCAAGTTTGCACAATGAGCCGCGAATATTCTAAGAAGAGAGTGAGTTTGAGTTTGTAGCTGGGATTGCAGGAAAAGTTTTTGCCGCTCGAGTGAAGAAGCAACAATGGAAATGGTTGACATAATCAGAGTGAGATTATGCCATTATTTTCAAATTTCTTTGGTACAATTATTCTTATATTATTATTTGTACGTCATTTTTTTTTCTATAGCCATGCTCAAACATACTTTTTACAGACGTTTATTTCATCATAAATGTGCAAGTATATTGTTTTACTTACTACAATTCAAAAACTTCTTCAGTTATTCATCAAAAGAATCAAAATCCTCGATGTAATGTCAGTAATTTCATAACATCTAATGGCTACTGTTGTATCATGTTCAGTAGATTATTATTTAAATACAATTTTATCTTTAGCTACAAACCATCACGTTGTAAAGTACAATTTATCAAATTATATAGGAATATTCTTCACTTTTAAATCCAAATTCATAATATGCATAGATTTCTAATATAATTCTTCAAATTTCCATCACCAAATAATTTGACATTGTTTAGTACAAGTTTTACGTACACTTTCAATAATGCCCAACTTTCGGATCAGTATTATTATATTTCTAGTAGTATTTTCTTAGAGCCGATAAAAGTTAATCAAATATATAAAATATTTTATTGGAAACTTTCATCATTTCCCAATTAATTAGTATAAAATACAACTATTGACTATTATAGAGAATATTATAGAATCAGAATGTAGACAATGTTATGGATTTTTTTTTCAAAAATACATTTTTTTCCATTAGATAATTTAAATAAATTTACTCTCTATATCTTGTTATATAAACTATAATTTTAGCAATGATATTTGTAACATGATAATATTGTCGAAATTATGTTTCTTCATCCGTTAAATATATATTTGCTAAATAATAAATATATTCAATATATGAAAATAATAATATATAGATATTTCGAAACTACAAATATAAACGTTGATGTGACATTTATTTAATATATTGCATTACACATTTCAATCAATAACAAATGTGTTGTTATTCATACATAAAATGAATACACTATTGACTATAATCATTTTAATAAAATGTTAGCGGATAAATTGGACAGGTGTAAATTTATCTGTATTCAATATTCAATAATATAAAAAAAGAACAATTAATTTATAAAATAACGTTTTATAACTCGAATGCAATCAATATTTTTTTTATTAATAAAATAAATTTTACTGCACTTATTTAAGAGTAATTAAACCAAGAAGAGTTAATTAGAAATTAAATACATGCAAGTAATTTAACTGAAATGTTGCTTGTGAAATGAAATAGACGAACTTAATTCTACAAAAGATATTTGGAAAATAATCTCAGTCTGATTATGTCAACTATTTCCATTGTTGCTTCATTCGAAAACTTTTCCTGCAATCCGAGCTACAACTCAAACTCACTCTCTTCTTAGAATATTCCCGTCTCATTGTGCAAACTTGCAATTAATCGATGTTTTCTGTAATTACTGGCTCCCGATAATTTAACTCCTTGTATCCGTTACAATTGCGAAACTTTCTTCATTCACTCATTGGCATCGATGTCAAAGTTGAAGTTGTACTTCAGCAAACGCAACAGAATATCACACGTAATGAACATTAACAGAAAAAAATCAATGAACAATGTTTATATGTTATATCACAAACAATGTTTTTAATCATATTTGTTAGAATTGTACAAATAAAATAAAAAATAATTTATTTCCTTGAATTTTCATTATAGTTTCAAATGTTAACAAACAAAAATGAGCAAATTATAAGAATTAACATTGAATAATATAACAAAAAGAAGTGTCATAATTCTTTATGTAATTAGGTATAATAACGCCATTAAACTATTTTAACATCGCCCCCTTTTGATGACGTGTGAATTGCTCTTTGAATAATTCAAGCAACATTTTTGTAAACTTACGTGAACACGCAACTATTATGCAAATCTTAACTATAATTTAGTTAAAAGATACTTTCGCGAAAATGTAACTACTAAATCTTAAGTTCTTGATGAACAATGCTTTTAATACAGTCTTAATTATTATTCTTTGAAATTAAATATTAGTCTCTTAAACATCGAACCAACATTCTAATCTCAAAATAGGAAGTTAAAACATTCTAACGTGTTTTATTTTATTTAAAAAATTATATATTATTTATTGAATAATTTCATCCCAATAAACGTAACTACGTTTTAATTAATTTAATTAACGTTATTTGCAGTATCAGAACTTCAGTTAATTTAAAATGAAATAAATACTAAAAATTACAAAAAGAAAAGTTTTCGCATATCAATTGAATCACAAGTTCCATTTTCAATCATGTATCAAATCATGTCATTGGTAAATAAGAACAATCAAGTGTTTAGAAGAATTATTTAGATGGTATTGAAAAAATATTAAAGATAATTTTTGGTGACAAACGTTTAGCTGCTTTCTCATGTAGTCAACTTTTGGAAGCTTGTGAATTATTAACACATATTTTTTTATTGCAAAGTTTTACTCAAAAGTCGAACTTAATCTAGAACGGTTTGAATTTGAAGTTCGAACACGTTTGTTTAAATTTGTTATTTTATCAAATTATCTCGTTTCTACTAGAATACCTTTTAACTGGTGACAAGTTGACAATTTTTTTTTGCAGAAATCCAATGCATTCTTTGCTACAAACATATGTGTTCCGAGACAGGTGTAAATTTATATCTGTATTCAATAATATAAAAAAAGAACAATTAATTTATAAAATAACGTTTTAAAACTCGAATGCAATCAATAATTATTTTATTGATAAAATAAATTTTACTGTACTTATTTAAGAGTAATTAAACTAAGCAGAGTTAATTATAAATTAAATACATGCAAGTAATACTCAGTTTTACTCAAAAGTCGAACTTACTCTAGAACGATTTCAAGTTCGAACATGTTTGTTTAAATTTGTTATTTTATCAAATTATCTCGTTTCTATTAGAATACCTTTCAACTGGTGACAAGTTGACAAATTGATTTTTTTTTTGCAGAAATCCAATGCATTCATTGCTACAAACATATGAGACACGTTGGCTGTGGACCAAGAACCACGCGAAAAGCAGCCGCAATAAGTCGTCCAAATTTTTATATTAGATCTGTCAGACGCAGAGCAATCGCTGTCGGATTAATGCTTATATTTCGCCTATGCTACAAGCGTTTTTTAAGGCTTATTTAGCTCAATTACGTACACCCCTTCTTGGTTATGCGCGAAGGGTCTTTTGTTTTATAAATTGAGCCAATGTTTTTTAATGTCACCGCTGCCGGGGCTTACATTCTGAAACGATAAAAAAATAGCACAGCGGCGCGAAGAAAACGTCGAGGGGGCCACGGTCGAATCCACCACTTTCATTTTCCGGTGCATGCAATTTTTCGCGGGAAAAATATTTGTATTTATTTTTTATCAAATTCCAGCATATAATGCGGTCTGTTTGAATACCTCAATTTAATAAATGGACAATTAGCATTGGTTCAGTGAAAACGGAGTGGAATTTGATTAATTCGATAATGAGTTACCGCAAAATTAATTGGGTTCGCGAAATGTTTCCAATGTAATGTTCAATCAAGCGCGAAGATGGCGCCACAAACTAATTTGTTTGTTTCGATGATATTTGTTTTACATTAGTTTGTATTGTGAAATTGTTATTGAGATTATAATGTAATTATTTTAGAAATATTTTGTTCAATTTGAGTGATTTTTTAAAAATAAGACATAAGGAAAGATAATTTAGTAGAGTAATTAATCATAAGATGTTTAATACTTTCCAAGTTACTTGACAAGTATATAATATCGATATTTAATTTAAAAAAAGGGTTACAATATTCAATGGAAATATTTTATTACAAAACTTTCTCTAATTCAGCGGTTTTCAAACTGGGAGGCGCGCCTATCTGGGGAGGCGCGGACTATTGCCAGGGGAGGCGCCAAAATTTTTTAATAAATTAATTTTTATACCATAATATCTTGAAATA